AAATTGTTTTGTTGTCATTTGTTTCTTGACAATGGTACGAGTCAGTACCGAAAGCTCGAAATCGACAAATAAAATTATTGAATTTAGTTAAAATTCTTAATATGTATTTTGTTGCGGTCTTATACAAAGTACTGATATTTTTTCCAGTGTAAAGATCAGAATCAAAATATGCAAAGCGCAAAGACACTGGTTGCTTCTGTTACTAATATTCAAAAACGCTGACGATAAAAGTGTGATAATTTTCAGCATTATTATACTTTTAGCATGGCATTACTGCACTGTTATTGTAATATTTTGCGATACTATTCGATATTAATATAACTTCAATTTACTTTTTTTGACAGTGTAAACCGACGGGTTTTTCTCACTCTGACACATGCTGATTGTTCAGAAATTGACCAATGGGAGAATATAAACACTAAGTGAGTATAAAAACAAATGTCATGAGCTTAAAACATGAGCAGTTCGAAACATAGTTCAGAAATATTTTTCCGCTGACTATTCAACAGACATCAGTTGAAACCTGTATTTTTGTTCAACAGTAAGCAAAAATATGTGGTGGACTCTTCCTCATAACTCTTCTCCTTACATTGAGCATTGATCAAACTTTTAGGCACTTCTACAGATCGATCACACACTCACACTCCACACACACCACAGTAGGGGGTGTGATCGATCTGTAGAAGAACCAACTTTTAAAATACATAAATCTTAATGAAAAACGTAAATTAGTTCAGGGGCCTGTTTCTTAAAAAAACTTAAGTAGAAAATCTGACTTAAGTCAAACTTAAGTCCAAAAAAGTCTTTGTCTTTTTTGACTTAAGTAAGATTTTCTACTTAAGTTAAGAATTAGTTGAGGGCATTTTCTTTTCAGACGGTCAAAAATGAGTACTTATCATTTCTGATAATATATCACAATAGGTAGAATCGAGTCAGAATTGCTTCGTTAACTGTACTTTTGTTATATGTTATTCTATTTTAGAAAAAGACACATGTTATAAATTAGTGTATTACTACTTGTGAGAAGAAATCAGTAGTTTAGTAAACAAAATACTTATAAATTTTACGATCAACTCTATCGCACTGTAATTTTATTGTACGTACTTTCTTCTCTTTCAAATGATATTGAACATTGTGCTTTTTTTGTGTATATAGATCATGGCTCAAAAATTACCCGATAATTCATCAAAACAATATGTCGATTTGAAACAAGAAATCCGCTCTTTATTAATTAGTTCACAAAAGGGTTTAACTGAAAGTCAATTACAACGCGATTACGCTGATTACAATAGTAAAAAAGAAATACCTTATAAAGTTATGGGCTATAAATCATTACTTGATCTCTTGAGATCGATGCCTGATGTGGCCAGAATTGAGAATAATAATCCACTTGTTATACATGGTGTGGCGGATAAGAATACTGAACATCTCAAAAAAATGATATCACAGCAACGAAGAAGCAAACGAACTCGAAGATCTGGTGGTTCACGTGGTCGTGGTGGAGCGTATTTTAACTCAACACGAACACGATGGCCGAGACAACAGGTTTGATCAATAAAACTGATAGTATGCAAAGAAGGGTCTAATAGGAACTGATTTTGTTTTTCTTCCCCAGCCACCGAACAATTTCGACAATGTTTCATCACTTATGAATCAATATCCATCGTTTAATAGCAATTATTATCGTAAATAGACTCTTCTAAAACTCCTTTTATTATCATTATGATTATTTTGTTGTTCTTGCAGCAAATTACCCAAATCAACAAGGATATTACTATCCACAGCGATATATACCACCGCTAATTCCTGATTGTAATGGCTCTATAACGAGTATGAGAAGCGATATTTATAACAACATAAAATCACTTTTACTTTTTATCATAGCTGCTAGCAAACTTTCCACAATGTCTGCCCATTTATCACAACCACCTGTATCAGCATCACCGTCGTCATTACTTTATGACTCGAAATTCGATGCATACGAACTGGCTGAAGATGGTAACAGTACAGTAATGGATGAAGATATGAGTTTCATAGACGATGATGAATTTGTACAATTTGATCAGTATTATTCAACTGAATATGGTGAAGAAACAGTTTTACTAAGAAAAAGATTACGTTTCGTAAGCGACTTACAAGATTAATTTTTTTCTGCAAATTAAAAATCTTTTATTTTATTTAGTTATTATTAAAATATTCAAACGGCGTTTGGCTTGCAAATATACAAAAACTTTTCAAAGTATGCTTGTTTCCTTTACCTACTTTTAATTAACGAATTTCTACTTTTTAAGAAAACTTACAGTGAGGAATTAGATCTTGAAAAACACAGATTAAAGAGTTTAATGGATTTATACAGTCGTATAGATGATTTTGTTAATTGCAAACGTGATGATACAAAAGATTCATCAGATCGTATTCTATTACTAAAACCTAATATGTTAGAAGCAGTGAAAAAAGAATATAATGCATTTAGTCAACAATCAACAATAAATGAATCAGGTAAGGCGAAGACGCTCATTTTTGTTCTTTGTTATAATTTTCTATCTATTTAGTTTCAAGACCATTATCAACGTCACAAAATTCAACTTGTTCAACGTCAATGCCAATATTATCATCAAACGTAAGTTAGAAATCTTTTTTTTTGCTATGTTGTTAATATAATTTTGTATTAATTATTATAGCAAGCTAATTCGTTGAAATTGGACCTCACTGTGGATACAGCACAATGTCCATCAAGTAATGACGTACAACGCCCAGATGTAAGTTAAATGCTATTTTTCGTGAAACTCTAACTAAGTTTTCTTGTGTTTTATTAGTACGATCGTATAGAAAATCCGTCCATGAAATGGTGCGTATCAGTTTTCTGATCTAATGATGATGAATTTTTTTTGTTCATATACCATCGATTTTCTATTTTAGCTCAATAACAACATCAGAAAACAACAGTACCAAAACGGCACTATTGACATCACCCGCTATATCATCATCTAATAGTTGTTACATTGATGAACGTCTTTTATCAAAGCAAAATATTGAAATACTACCGTATGAAGTCGACATGAAATATTTTGCAATATCAATTGATCATGCCTATTTTCTAATTAAACATCCATTTACAAAACGACCATGTTTACCGTGCTTTGAATTAGCGAAATTATTAAATATCGATGAAACAAAACTTCCGGTACGATGAAAATACTTCTGTAAGCTTCAGCATGACTTATTCTTCACTAAAATTCTTACTTTCTTTTGCGGTTCAATATCATTCGATAAGAGCTGCTAGAATATCCAGTCAGATACTTGTAAAAGTGCTTCTTGTGTATATTTTCCGTGATTGAATCTTCAGATGACTCTCATTCTAAGGATAAGACGTTCACTCTGTACTTTAGTCAATGCATGAAACGAGAAAAAATATATTTTCTTTCCCGAGCGCTCGGGCTGACGCGTAAATTGTATATTTGTAGTCTTGGATACAAATGTTGTAAAAAACCAAGTCGAGTTAAAAGTTCACGTAGTTTTGTGGTAAAAATCGGTCGAGCTAACGCAGTTTCTCTTACGGTGAGAAAAACCTGATGGGAGCAAATATTATAGTTACTGCAAGGTTGAAAATGCTATTGGCAGACGTGATCTAGTTGACTTGTGTTGTAAACATTTGACCATTTGTGGGGACAGATAAACTTTTCTACTAACCTGATCATTTAATTCAAGAGAAACTTGATTCAACAGTGAAATTTTGTTGACCCCAAAATCCTAATTCAATATTTTGTTTACAAGAAACTTTTCTAACGTCTGACATTGATGATTCTGATGCCAATATCTGTGGATTCTCAGTCTACAGATTAGAACGTGCTAAAACTGGGTTTTCAGATCGTCATGGGGAAGTAGCTATTTACATTCCAAAGAGTATCTCTTATACAGTAATAGCTTCTTGATGGGTTGTGAGTGATCTTTTTCCTCTTTTTTTCAGAACCCTTCCTCTTTGTCCTCTTTTTCGATGATTTTGTTACAAAAATGCGTGAGTTTTGGCAATTTTAGATTCGAATATAGTTTTAGATATATCTGAATCATTTTTTTAAGGTGAAGAATTTCAGTACAGAAAATAAGAGATAAACCACCTTTATAATAATGAAATAGACTAATTTCTGTTAGAGACGTTTCGTCTTTATTCAAACGATATCATCTGTCAAATGTAGTAAATGTAATAATAAAGTACATAAGAAACCAGCACTAAGCAACCTAACAGAAGTTTATGAGATGACTCTTTCCATCAGCTCAACGGTTTCCTCATTACAGTCTTCTAGAATAGTTCTCACAGTCCCAAAAACATTAACTTTGCCACCTTTTAGTCTCCATCCTCTTGGATGTACTTTGATTGCACTTGACTTCGCTCTAACTCTTTCGATATAATCTTTTAGCGCTGAGAATTTGTCAACACTTAATCCTCGGTGGATCAGATAGACTACAATCGGCCAGCGTAAATTTATCACAAACAATAAACATTGATTTTGTTGCAGATATTTTCCAAAATGTGGTCTCATGGTCTATCGATGCGAGGATCTGAACGATTGAATCTTATGAGCTGACTGTTCGTGTTCCGGTGTCTTGAATACAATTTCTTCTAGAGGGTCGTAGATAGAACAGTCAGATGTTTTGCTATTCTCCGCTCGTTATTGGTTCTCTATACGTGCTTTTTTGTGTATAAAATCGTGAATAAATTAGGTGAATATCTCAGCAATGCCGTTGACTTATCACCTCCGAACATACTAATACGGATAAAGACCTACAATACACTTTTAGATAGGAAAACATCGACTTTTTTCTTCTCTTTTTTCGATAGTAATCCTCTCAAAAAAACTTTAGAATATCCTCTTCTGTCCTCTTTTTTTCAAAATGACCGTTCACAAGCCAGGCTTCTTGTTATGTTCGTGAATATATTTTGGTCCGTTTGATGTTTAAATCTTTTTTCGTTTATCTTTGTTGTTGTTATAGAAAACCAGATGCTGATCGCGATTATTACAAAAATCTGACTGCTTTTCTGTTACTAATTTTACCGTTGTTAACTCTTCTCTGATCCTAGCGGGTGATTTTAACTCAGATCAAATTCTAAAATTAGTACCGTATAACAAGCTATGTGAGCTTGTAGCTCTTTTTCAGTTGAGTTCCTCTAATCTGCTGCCTACTACTATGGGAAATAGTAAATTAAACAATGTATTCTATCCTTTCGATAAGATACATTCTTTTTTATCGCTCGCACCCATTTCGGGTTCGTTTGCATTTCAGACATTAACGATGCTCTCTATGGTTATCAAAATTTATTGAATGATATTATCATTTTACAATGTGTTCCACTCAAACCTAAAATACCACGCTCTGTTCTATTCTTTCGACGAAGTAAACATTATTTTCTTCTCAGACGGCACCGAAATTTTGCCTTTCGGCAACGGAAGAAGCAGCCTTCTCCTGCATCATTTGCCAAGCAGTAAAGCGAAACTTTTCAACAATTTTTTTTCACATTACTTGGTTCCGCAAAATAGTGCCTGTCAAACTTCTTATTTCACTAAAACTAATTCTCTCTTCAAAATTACTCCTCCCACTAAAGAGAAAATTCTCGAAGTGATCAGTAACCTGAGAATAAGGTCCCAAAGCATTAGTAAACAAATATAGACCAATGTCACTTCTCTCAATACTCAGTAACGTGTGAACGATTCATCTACGATCAACTTTTTGGTTATCTAAGTCAGCACAATTTCTTTTCGACTTCTTCAACTGGTGTTCTCTTATTTTTAATTCATCAGATCTACCGGAATTTGGAAGCCGGTACCCACTCTATTCTAATGCAATTCAATGTCGAAAAGGCGTTTAATCGAGCTCCTCATCATATATTACTGGCAAAATCAGCAAACAGAGCAGTAACGGTCAGAGCTGGGCTGGTCAAAGATAGATCGTTGATGAATATCAGAACGAGAAGAGAGCCCAGGATTCTGAGGGACACCGCTGTTAGATTTGATACGACAGACCCGATCCGGACCCTCTGTTTCGTCTTTGTCTAAGATTTTTTAAGATGCGGTGAGATTCTGTCAAGGAGAACAAAGTTGATAATGTAAAATTCAATTGTGTCTACGTTGCTACTTCTATAGAACCATGAGAGAAAAACAAAAGGATAAATGAAAGTATTCAGATGTTACTTAAGTTCTTAGATTATCTTATCAAGATCTTAATCCGATTAGTTCAAGAAGTGCTTAAGACTCCTACTATGGCATCTGCTCGTGTAGCATGACTTGGTGGTCAGACTACGAGTGATAGCGAAGTATTCAAATCAGATGCACAGGATTCATTGATATTGAAGTTGAAGATAGTAATATCATAACTACACTAGAGACGACTGATGAACTAGCGATAATGTTTGTAAAAGTGCCTTCTAGAGTTCCATCCAATAGTAGCTTTGATTGACACGGATGTTGTTATATTACTATTTGATTCATCTTGTCGGTAAAAGTGTAGTATTGCTGTTATATCAGCATTTGAGTTAATGATTCCAATCCGAAGGAAAATGTCACCTAGCAAGTGGCCTTTCACGTCTGAACTGCTATTTGATGATGTCCTACGACTATCTCTTACGAATTATCTTCTTGCGTTCGAAACGGGTAATTACTTTCTTTAATGATAAAGTTCGTTTTGATTGAGCAAAAGATGTTAGACTAGATTCTAAATCCTAATTTTAAGGAAAAGTTTTTTGAATAATGAACGATTTAATAAACATCCAAACTTAAAACTGAGGTAACGAAAAGCCACACAACAGCATTGAAGTTAAACACCCATAAACTTTGATAAAACTAATTAAATCACAAATTTATTTGAATGTATTTCTCCAAAAAATAAAGTAATTTTTTTTTGCAATTTAGCAAAATACATCTGCTTGTACTAATTTATAAAATGATAATCTTATTCACTTTTTAGAAACTTGATTTCGAAACAACACTAGCTTGTTCTCAACAAAATCAAACACTATTTAATGAGATTAAAAATAAATGCAAAATTGATAATTGTCCACATATAAATCGTCAACAACTACCATCGTGTAAATTATACAATTTGAATTCTTTGTGTAATTATTTGAAAAAGATAAGATTTAATGAAGGGGATGTCACTGATGCATTTTATCAACAATATAATCAGTATGATAAACCAAATTATTGGAAACAAACACGCGTAAGTAAATGTAGCATTGCTCAAAACATCGTCACTTCTGTAACTACATCGTGCTACAATGTTTTGCACAGATATGATTTAACGGGTATACCAGAAATAATGTTGGTCTCGGTATTTTTACTCAATTTCCTTAGGACAAATTCTTTTTTTTAATAGAACCGTCATAAAATTCTCTACAAAATCATACCTAAACATTAATTTCAGAACTTCAATCAAGGAAACTAAGCAAATTTTACGAAAGGCGAAAAAACTGAAAACTTTGTAAATTTGATGCTTTTTTCGACTTAAACTTTTTCTTCTGCTATTATTTCCGTTTTTGAGTTTACAAAGTTTTCCTTTTTTCGCTAATTTGTATAATTTGCTTAGTTTTCTTGATTGAAGTTCTGAAATTAAAGTTTAGGTATAAGTTTGTAGAAAATTTTACGACGATTCTATTAAAAAAAGGCTTTGCTCTAGGGAACCTAAGGAACAGCAGTTAGAGCAAAAATACCGAGACCAATATTATTTATGATACACCCGTTATGTAGAATGCTGATCGTCTTTATAGTTACAGTCTCTCAGCACTAATCATTGGTAGGCTGTGATATTTTAAGTACAAAAAATCATTAAGATTTCAAAAGCGAGAAAAAAAGTTCTAGATCGACATTTGATAACCAGGAGTGATATTGTGAACGTGAAGAGTATATAATTTATATTTCATTCTAGCAATTTTGCTGATTCATATATGATTTTAAGTTTTTACATCGCTTTTATTGTATCATGCTCGTTTTCAATGTAAGTTATGATTTATTTCAGATATAGCAATGAAATTTCGCTCGAGTAATCTACAAATAGATCAGAATTTAACTTAAAAATTTCGAGTCAAAACATCATTTCTAAGTAGTAAACAGTTTTTTTTAAAAAAAAGATGATTCGTTGTACAGAATATAGATGCAGAATAGTGGATTTACTTTTGCAGTTTACTGCAGAGCTAAGTTATGTGTTCGAGTCTCTATTCGTACAAAATTGCTTTGTGTTTTACGATAGGTTTAGTTTAATTTAGAATACTATAATGAAATATTTTTCCGCTTGTATTCTGACAGAATAAAGCTTACACCAAAAAAAGATGATTTTTCAAGAATAGCTGGTCAAAAACATACGCTTTTTTCACTCACTTTTTTCATATCACTCATAAACGGTTAGTTAGTGAAGAGGGGCTGACACTATGCAGACAGTCAACATTCTACGTAAACTACATCTATACAAAACATCAAACTATCGCACGATAAAGTGACGAATGACAGGGATGACGGTCTTTTTGACCAAAACTTATCCCAAAAACAAATATGATCAATATACTTCATCCTCTTTGTAGAATGTTTATTCATATGAGAAGACACCAATAGAACAAAACAAATATTTGAAAGAACGATGTCAACTTCTTGCCTTGAGACGGTAAGTGTTTATAAAGAAATTTGATGAAATACTCTGTGTATGTTTTTGTTTTGCTTAGACAACAATTAGTATCCCTTGTTAAAAATCAACCGGAATCAGAATATCTAGAAGAATTAGAAGAAGTTGAACAAAAACTTCAGAGTATCGTATGTGATATCAAAGAATATATTCCATCTATAAATGATATAAATGAGACATATTCACCATTCGAAATTCCACGAAAAGATTTCTATCGTTTTCCACCACCAGGATTTGAAGAATCAGTTACAATTAATACTAGCAATGAACAAGACTATACCATGACTGACGTATCTTATGAACCACCATTAGTCAATTCATCAATAATAACAAACACTGCTGATCAACAAGAATATCAACAAGATCAAGTACCTATATCAGATATTTCATTTTATCATCCACGGCGAGATGAAAATAACAGTCAAGTGTTAAATGAACGTCAGATTCCTGTATCACCGTTCAAAGAACAAAAAGGTAGAAGAGTAAAAGGAAGTGATTATTACTCGTTACTTTCATTTTTTTTTTTTTAGAAAATATTGAAAACGTAAAAACAAATGTCAATCATTGTCAACTTTATCGTCAAACATTATTGAAAATTGCTCGACCATATGATCGTAGTTTTTCACTTAATTTATTGTTTAATCATTTTTTAATGGATGAAACTAATGATGATGTACTAAAAAATAATATAATACAAGAAAAATTTGACGATATTATTCGTATAACTGAAAATATCCTTAATCTTTTAAATATCGAAGGTTACATGAGTGAATTGAAAACAGAATTATTTCAAAAAATAATTAATTCCATATCATTATTAATTGATAATAATGCTGATATTAAATTACGTCTCATATCGTACAATGATTGTATCAAATTCATTCAACTCATGGAACCATCAATTAAAAGTATTGTAAATAAAATTGATTCTATATTTTATATATGTTAATAGTCACAGTATCTATCAACAGTAACAATGCGATGATTTTAAACCACATCGTTTATTATCTGTCATGAATATAGATTTGACAATTTTCTTTGTAGAAAAGATAAATTTCTGAAGCGATTCTAAGTAAAATTAAGACTATAATATGTGTCACTCATTGTTCTCTTGATTTTAACTGTAAACTTCTTTCTATTTATGTACTTATTTTACTTTTGTTTGAATTTAGCATGCACATCAAAACTGCAATATTTGCGTTTTTTTCGTTCTTTTTGTAACTTTTGTATGTAAATGTAATCCGCAAAATGTTGTAGTTAAGGTCCGAAAGTTTTCTGGTCGCTGTTACTATTGATAAAAAAATTCATGTGAAGTTGACACATTATCTTTTTTGATGTATGAGAATGTTATGTTTCAAGTTTCGATGGAAACATTTTGTTAGCGCGTTTTTTCATTCAGTTTGCTGTTTTCTCTTAAATATTTTTCGTTTATCTTTGTTCGTTATTGATAATAATGAATAGCGGTGTTGAAAATACCAGGAGATCAATCCCTCTTCAAAATACTTCCGTTTGGACTCCTATCGAACAAGAATTCAGTTTTATGCAGTTCCCGACATTGTTCAGCAGATCTTTTGAAATTTATGGTGATAAAGGAAATACTTCATCAGCTATTCTATCTTCAAGAGTATTATGAATTCATTTTATTGATTAAAAAAGCGAATAGACAATTTTTTTCACTAAAGGAGTCGAACTCATCAAAAATATGTTTAAACGAAAGTTTAAAAATAAAGAATTTTTGCTCATAACACATTTTTAATATCTGTATTTTTAAATTATAATCGAGAGTTTAGTGCTCTTCTAGTTGTTTTTGAAATTCTCCCATGATCCTAGCTTTACAAAACGATTATTTTCAGATCATTCTGTAGCTTTTTTGATCGATTATCACTTGTATGACCGTTTAAGGGAGTTTTAGCTGATTAAAAGTTAATTTTGTAGTCATACAGTTAACAGGCCTATGCATGAGTTATTAAATATTGGTTTTCGTTTGTCTGTATTTTTGAATGATCACTTCTGATTTTATCTGAAAACAAATTATGTCCATGCTACTGTTTTAATCTACATGACATAAGTGAATAATTCTGTCGAATGTACGATGTTCTTCTTTATTTATAATTTTGAATGTTCTGACTGATTTTACTAATGCTGTTCATCATCAATGGGACGATCAGATTCATTGTAACGAAGCAAAAGCTAGACAAATGACAACAGGGTTAGTAAATAGTTGTATAATATGTCTAAGATAAGTTAACTTTCTAACAGCTAAAAGATACTGTTTATTTATTCTTATTTTAAATAGGACAATTTCTACAAATTACATTATGTAAATAAAAAAATATACAATTTATATCATGAATTATTGGCTCCAAACGTGTTATTTGTTGTTCGATAAACGATATTAATTGCTAAACATAAAATCAGTCAAGACGTTCGTCAGAAGTTTTTCAAATTCATGTTCCACTTACATTAAACGATCGAAAACGATCTATAGATGAATTGAAAAGTTTTCAGTATTATTTAAAGATAAGCAACTTTATTCTCTTCCTTGATAAATAATTAATTTCTCTGGATGATATTGACAAGATTTTAATTGTTCAGCACATGAATTCATACAGATATCAAGTTTTTTAATTCCATGTAAATTAATTACAGCTTGGACAGCACGTTCCATTCGTTAGCACGTTCAATTTCATTATTCAATTGTCATTCAATTGTCATTCAATTGTATTTAAACTTGAACTTAATTCAGTAATACTTTCCCAACCACTCATTTGTTCTAGACAACGATCCTTACTTGTTAATTAACGTTGTGTACGACTTAACTCTCGAATATGATTATTTATTTCATCAATTTTTTCCATTTAACATTTTTTAAACGATCAAGGCGTGTTTCAATTGACATTTGACCTAATTTTCCTCTTGGACTCTCGACTATTTGACTATGATTCATAATTGTTATAAATTTTGTAATTCATTTTTTGTAATTGTATATTTGATTGTTGAATCAAATTATAGTTCAAAGTCTACATGTTCTTGACTCGCTTTGTCAAGTGCTGCAAGACGCGTGATTAAATTATCAGATAATCAACGTTTTCGATTAGGTGGGGGAATTCCCCCACCACCTTGTTTGAAAAAAATTACTCCATTCATTTTAAAAAATTTACTCTATCAAAATAAAAATTATGCCGAAAAGTTAAAAGCCATTACTTTTTTTGGTTATCAGCTAAATTTTTAGAGTTGCTCCATAAAATTTCTCCCACCTTGCCAAGTTATATCGAAAACATTGCAGATAATCTAGATGAGAAATAAAAATAATTCCTTGTTATTGTTAACGTTCTCTTGTCGAGTATATTTTTCTTTGATTAATGAATACTTTTCATCTACTACAAATCTATAAAGTTGATATTATCATATTTTTCACTCGTGCTAAGCCTTCAAATTCGTTTGTACGATTATTGGTACTTTGAATTAGATTCTAAAATTGATTTTTTGATAATAAAAGTAGAGATAAATGCACGTAAGTATATATATCATTCATCTGAAAATCAATTTCATTTTATCCTTCACGAGAATAACCATGTTTCAATTCTTTATTCAATTTTGTTATCTTATCCAATGTAATACGTTCAAATTTTATTTTTTCATTAATTATGTCCTTAAAAAGTTATTTATTTATTTTAATATTCAATTGTACATGTTCTACAGACTGACTATTTTTACTTACACAATGTTTTTTATGTAATTGTTCAATTTCACTTGATTTCAATGGTATCCTTTATTCACTTGTAATCATACGTTGTCTATCATCTGTCCACATTGATAAACGAGTCGATAGTGTATCAAATTCTTGTCGTTGTTGAATTAACATATTTAAACGTTCTTTTCCTTTTTCTGTTTGTTGTCTTAACTGATCCCATTCAGTCTGAAATATATGTTTAATTATGAATGATTATCACACTATAACGTTTTTGAATAGATAAAAATATTGTCATAATTTTATTAATCTCTGATTCTGTTTGTTGTCATTCTTGAACACTTAAATCGGATGGAATTTTTTTTTCAAGTGTATTTAAATGATTTTTTTTCACTTTAATTCTCTCGACTAAGTGTCTAAATAGATAGGAACATCAATATCTTATAGTTCCCTCGCAGTGCATTAATTTTCTATGCAAATGTGAAAAAGCTTGCCAGCGTTGCTTCTGTGAAGCAAAAAGTGTGAAAACTTCCGACCCCGATAAATCAGGTAAATTACTAAACTCAACAATATAGAAAGAAACAGTGTAAGGGGGAGGGGGGGGGGGGGGAGAAGAAAAAAATGTTTTTTTTTTAAAATAAATCAATAGTTTCCACCATACAAAAGTAGGCATTAAAATTGTGATTCTTTCATATTATTTTTACCTACAGTGGAATTTTAACAACAAACTGATTAAAGATTTAGAACTACTGAAATCGGCATTCACAACTACTGAAAAATTTTAGTAATTTTTCACAAAAAATCCTAGTCTATAAAATTAAACTTCAAACCTCCTTTTCCTTCTGAAAACGGATAAATCCTAAGAAGTTTTCACAAAAAGAGTCGAAAAATGCTAACAATTCGACAATAATATCTATAAAGTCTATCTGCTTATAGAGCACAGATAATTGTAAATTTTTGAACAAGCGATATATAATTGTCAGTAGTTCAACCATGGCTTTAAAGATTGAGAGTGTTACAAATTAAAACTCATTAGGTTTTTTCATGAGACAGAGCGTAAATAAATACAATGAGAGACTAACTTAATTCCGTTAAAGAATATTTTAATACTGTAATAGGAAGAAAAGAGACAAAATGTCACGTTATTATTTAAAAGCATTTTGTGTGCTTTTTGTATTTATTTGTATAAGAACTGAAGAAAAAACACATTTCTTGACTATTTTTACTGCAAAAACTCGTCTTTTAAAAAATTTTTTAATCACCTGTAAACATGTTCACTTCTCCAGCACATCCACAGTTGGATTCATTGATTTGTACCGAATGTAACATCACACCCTCTCAATTAACTTGTGCTTGTTCTGAAAAATTGTGTTTCGGTTGTATACAAGTTCACATTGAACGAATTCGACGTGAATTTGAACTGGTACATGAAAAAGTGGGTCAACGTTTCATAAAAGTAGATGATTTAAAACATCGAAATAATATTCCACATGTTGAAAATGTCATTCAAAAATGGAAAACAGAGCGTATGCGAATAATTGATGATATTGCTAGTAACGCTCTGAAAGCAGTTGAAGAACGAACTAAATATTTTTCCGGTATACCAGCATTGAAAACCGACTATGATAGTATGCCACAATGGGAAGCACAAATTGGTCACGAACAATTGAATCAAGTGATTGATTTAGATCAGAAACTTGTAAAAATAGTCGACCCACTGACTGCATTGCCCACTTTAGAACAAGATGATCATACTTTAGAACAACAACTAAAAACACAATTGAGTCGGTTATCATTAGGTGAAAATAACATTGATCTAGCAGCATTCGCACAACCATCGATGCATGATGCGTCACCTGATATAACGGAAAGAATTATGAAGACAAATCCGATTGTTATACCATGTAAAAACGATGAGTTTCACGGCGCATTTGCGTGTCACGATGATGAACTTATATTCAACACAACTGATTCACAATTAAAGAATAGTAAATTAGTTTTTATATCGAATGTTAACCGTACTGGTATATCACAAGAAATACCATGGCCTCATAATTGGATTATTGTTGACATTGAATATGCAATTCCGTTACGTTCTTATCTAATTGCAACTGGTCGACAAAATTCAAAAGTTTATAATTTTCATCCCACCACAAGTCAAATTGACGAATGGAAAGATTTCAATGACAGAAATTTGAAACGTTTATGTTGTACGACAGAAATGGTTTATCTCGTATTTTCAACTCAAGATCGACAAAATTTTGACGATGATAATAGTGATGAATTAATAGCTCTCAATTATACTAAGGAAGAACAAGTATTTAAAACGATTAATCAGTTAGTTAAAATCGCTGACGCTGAAATAATCGATCTGTCATGTTCGGACCAAGGTCAAGTTGCAATCGCCTATCGTTTCAATATGAAACAACAAGTTGCAATATGTCTTTTTGATCAGCAATGGTCACCGGCAAGAGCAATTGAACTAAAAGGATATAAAGATACGAATATCTGGTATACGCCTCGATTAACATGGTCAAATCAATTTGATGCATTTCTTGTTGTTGAACATAAATCTGGCCATTTAGTAGTAATTGATTCGAACTCCAAGGTGAAAGGTGAAACAAGAATTGTTAGTGAAGCGATGACTAATGACATACGTCAATTGCCAGTTAATGTCATCTTATCGAACAATAATTGGATAGGCATTCGTTGTGAAGTATCGATTAATATTTATCAAATAAATAAAACTTAAATATAGACTCAGACATCTGAGATACTTTTTCCTATTATCGTACTCGAAGGTTATTTTAACTATGATTTATTCAAGACTATCTTGTTTTACTATTCATGCTCTGAAATAGCATTCTAAATCAGATAAGACACGTATCATTTTGAAAAACAGAATAATAGCTTTCTTTTATAAAACTAATAATATGTGCATTTTGTTTTATCTATTAATAGATGGAGAATATATCACTCAGTTGAAATTATATCCAATTCAATAGTAGAATATACTCATTTTGTGTCGACGTTCTTCTGTTACAAGTGACAAAGTATGCCATCTTGACAGGCAATTTGTATCGATATTTTTTGAACAATTTTTCTACTGATTGTAACCAGTTTATACCAATTTATTTTTTGCTACTGTCGTCTGTATGAGAGACCTTTAGGTAAAGTCTGACGGAAGATTTTTCTGTAACAGATTTCTTGTCTTATATACTAGGCGACGTGATTTCATGACCTGATTACAAATATGACATTTATGTTGCATTCAAACACTTCTTTTGCGCATAAATCACAGAAAATTGTTATCTTTTGTCAATATATAAAACATTGCGGCTCTGAGCACATGGATACAAATATAATTCTTTTAAAGTGTTCGATAGATGAAAGTGATCTGTAGTATTTAGAGAATCGCTTTATACGGACATACTTTTGAAAAGATTATCTATAATTTATTTCAAATCATTTGAAACCTCTGAAAATTTTCAATCATTCTTCATCATATAGACAGGAGGCCATAGCGAACACGTTGGCGCAAACCGCGATCCTCTGTGACGTCTATATCAAAAATGGCACACGAAATCAAAAAAATCAATGTGCTGCACGACCAATTTTTCGGGACACTGTATGATTCAGTTTTAATAGCAAAAATTCGTTTTGTCAAGTTTTTATTAAAAAAATAAGTGAATGCACCCGTTTTTTATGGCCGATAAATTGTCCATACAGCATCAGAAATGACAGAATAAAGGCTGGACTTTGGTCTTAAAGTGAGAATTTTTTTTTAGAAGAAAAAGTCTCTCTTACTTCTTCCTCACTTTCATGAACGCTGAAAGAAAAATCATTTCGTCACTTCTATTTGAAATATTTTGGTAAATGGCGCCTAGACGACAAGAGTATTCTCGTGATATCAGATGCTAAGGCGACAGAAATTTTTTTCCAAACACTTTTGACATGACCTGAGCAATGATGATCAGGGCACATCGAAGTATATACTTCGGATGGTATTTGAGCGCATTCAAGCTTATTAAAGATTGAAAAAAGACGAAACACCGATCCCCACTGAACACAATGTTTGTTAAAAGCTACAAATTCTAAAGCTATTTTGTATAAAACATTCAAACTAACCCCATCAGCGGATAGAATACATCAACATGTACTAGAAAATATCAAATAGCAAAAGCACAACTCGTTTCTGCCGAGTTCAAAGGGCTAGAATAAAATTATAGCTAACATATCATTAACTTGAAACAGGAGCCAAATGAACAAACTGACGCCAAAGCAAAATAAATCGATATTAAACACAGATTCAGTTTCACAAATAATTTTACTACTATCCGAGCCAAAATACAAGAGCAGTGGTTATTTTTTGAATAACTCAGCACCAAATACAGATAGAGGCTTGCGATGTTCATCATTCGATAGTCAAGACTTGAGCCGGTCTTTCTACAAGCAAAACCGATTTTTGGAAAATTTTTCGAAGCCGGATTTCCAGAAGATCTCTGGAAAACTAGTTTGAAATTTCCGAAATTCAAAAAAGGAATGTATTGATTTTTTGGGTGCGTATATAGTCCAAAGTGTCTCCTACAAAACCGGATCTAAGTGACATCTTGAAAACGTATGGTTCGAGAGCTATGGACATTTTTCCTGACGCCTTAGCACTCCTTTACGGTTAGGTTTGGGACTGTCAGAAATGAATGAAAACAGAGGTTATCGACTATGCAGAATCTCGCGGCAATGTTAATTTTCAGAACAAAATGTAAGAAACAAGTGAAAACCTATACTAGGTGAAATAACCCATTTTTGGTCAATCAACAATACTCTATTTTATTTGCAGTATATACTGTAAATAAAATTAAAAAAGAATTAAAAAAAGAAATTAAAAAAAAAAGCTTCACTTATACCGTGAAGCTCAATAAATGTTGTAAAAGCCAACAGAAAAGACTTTGGTTTCTAGAAAGGTTTCCTAGAAACCTTCGGAAGTAGAAGAATATTTTTATTGATTTTACGGACAGGATAAGAATGAGCGGATAAAATAGAGTATTGGCTGACATTCTGAAGCAGGTTGGATAGATTTTGCCTGAATTATGAATTATTTAATTTTTGATGAAAATAATCAAAAATGGGTTATTTCAAAGTATATATTTCGATGTGCTCTGATCACCATTGCTCTGGTCATGTCAAAAGTGTTTGGAAAAAAATTTCTGTCGCCTTAGCATCTGATATCACGAGAATACTCTTGTCGTCTAGATGTTTTATTTCATTAATTATGTCCTTAAAAAGTTATTATGCCGACAGACATTATGTGCTTTTGCTGGGATTTTTGTTGTTTTGTTTTTGTTTAGTGTTCTGACAACGGGAGGACAATCTTTACGACACGAAACCAAGGGAGGAAAAGCTGATTTAGAGCTCTTTTCGATTCTGGCCGATTTTGAGCGATTTAAATCGATTTTGGCCGATTCTGTCACTCAAAATCGATTACGCAAGAATCGATTTTCAGTCATTTTCAAGGGGGGAAAAGCTGGTTTTGGGTATCATTTCATTTCATCATCATGACATAGGGTATCATCATTGAGTAATTTGTTGGTGAGCTCGTCATGGTCAGATAGGCATTGCTGTGGCGAAATGAAATGTCATCCGGTGCCATGGAACATCCAGGAGATAAATGAGTAGTGTAATCTTTGGCATTGTTCACTAGCTGCTTGTCGTCAGATGAGCATTGCTGTGACGAAAGTAAAATGTCATCCGGTGCCGCGGAACATTTAGGAGATAGATGATTAGTCTGCTAATTGGCATTGTTCACTAGCTGCGGCATCATTGAGTCAGTTGTTGGTGACCTCGTTGTCGTCACATGAGCATTGCTGTGTCGAAAGTGAAATGTTATCTGGTGCCGTGGAACGTTTAGAAGATAGGTAAGTAGTTTCGTTATTTGCATTCTTCACTAGCTGCATCATCATTGAATCAGTTGTTGGTAACCTCGTCGTCGTCAGATGAGCATTGTTGTGACAAAAGTGAAATGTCCTTTGGTGCTATGGAACATCTAGGAGATAGATGAATAGTGTAACCTCAATGTCTGCAGAACTATGAAAGCTAGTAAAGGAGCAATGGGAGGAGAACCTCTCAAAATGGGAGGAGAATCTCCCGACGTTCGAAATTGATCAATGGACATTTTTATGTCATCTAATGGTCCTGATTTAGTAACGTAAGCTGCAGACGTGAAAGAATAATATATTCTGGAGTTTGAAATTTTTCGTATATTCAGTTGGCCGGCGCCAGTTGTTTTTGTAGAGAAATTTGTCTGACACAGGATTTTCTACATTGAACCTTTTCAGTACCTCTTTGTGATCTCCAAGTATCATACAACAACAATACTTCTCGAAGGATATGTTGATTTGCAAAAACTGAGAGAACTTTCCGAATCTACTAATATTTCGATGTTATATGTTCGATGTAAATACTAAAATGAGCAGAGATCTGTTACAGGACAACTTGTTGCAATGTAGGCTTTAATAGATGTGAAAGAAGCAAGAAAAAAATCACCGATTCGTCTTCTTAGATAATCGAATTCGATTTTCCAACTATTTAGAAAATCGCGGTCGAATTTCCAACTTTTTAGAAATTCCTTATAAATTTTCTGGCAAATGTGAAAAGTCAATTTATAGAATATCGAGCGGATTTTCTATAAAGCAGAAAATCAACGTTTTCTAAACAGTCAGAAAATCGCTGAGGAATTTATAAAAGTTGGAAAATGTTTGGCGATCGATTTTCTATAAAGTAGAAAATAACTCCAAGTTACAGTGTGTTTCGAAAGGAAAAGCGTAAACGTAGATACCAAGTTGATGATGTGTATCGGGAAAGAACTAACAGTGGTAACAAAAGATTTGAAGAAAACACGGTATTTGCAAAGCCCTGCTTTTCGTAAGCATGTATAAACGCGTCCTTGGATGAGTATCATTCGACTCTGCAAGTACGTTTGACAACAAGAACAGCAACCACAGCTCGTAAGAAGGGTTTATATCATAGTATTTCTAGATATCGAGCCAGTGTTATTAAAAAGCAGTTGGACAGATATCATAATAATTCTTCGGTTAAAAAAAGCTTATTGATAAAGTTACTACAAAGCGTTTATCTAAAAAATTTAAATCACCTGGAATGAGAAAGATTTGGCTAAGTAACAGTTCTAAGAAATCTATTAATAACGCTTTGCGTAAATGCTCTGTACATGTTTTGCAATTTTCTTCAATGGTTAAACGGTTTAAAATTATTGTGACACAAAATATTTTGCGTAAATATTAATAAATAATATTTTAATTTAGAAAAGAAGAAAGTAGAAACGTTAATAAGGAAAATACGTGAGACAGAAGAAAAGATTGCAGGCAATTTAAGCCCGTTCTATGTCAAACAGTATGAGAAGTTCCAAACTGTTTCAAAGGATTTTGTGTGTTGTGTCTGCAGTAGAATGACGCTTGAGAATCAGTTGTTACTGCGTGATAAATCAGTTTATTTTACTCAAACTTGCTCTACTGGAACCAGAGAACAACTAGAACAGTGTTTTTCATTTCTTGGTTCAACATCCATTAAATACTGTTCACGAAGATACCAGTTGCGAACATAGTAGAATACATCTTGCTGTTCCTCATTTCTTGTTCTCAGTAAATTCAAACCGTCCTTGTCCTGAACAATAACTTGTTTGATTTGGTCTAAATTTGTTGAAGGTTTCACAACTTTATTCGGAAACATGGTATTAAGATCAGCATTTTCCTCATTTCTTGATTCGCGTAATTGTTCACTCACATGATCTTTTCTATATACCAGTAACGCCCATTCTTCAATCCCACTCGCCTCTGCTACTTCTCGAAATGTATCTTCCATTGCCTCTAAGTCTGCATTGTACGTCTCGTACTTTGCCGTATTCTCATCAACAACAGGTTTAACTCTTTCAGTTGTATTGTCAGCAACATCCAGAAAACCCTCAATTTCATAAAATTGCTGATACGAATCTCCCGTTTTTAAATCTTCTGGAGAATCAATTGGTAAAAACCATATTAATATATTCTCGTAATAATTTTCCGGCTGCCTCTCCTTACTAAATCGCATATATCGTATTATTGCACTGTCCTCTCTTCGTGTTACTACGAACGGTAATCGTCGTAAACGTTTGCTATGTACTCTATTACATGGGTTTGAATCAATGTGGTACAAGGCACAAAAGTCAGCTAGGCAAATGTTAAACTCTTGTCCATTTGGGCGATCGAAATACTTGTCAACAATGTTTAAGCAATCAATGCCAGTGGAATCCTCAGATAAATTTTCCAACTGTGTTTTAGGTTTCAAAAATCTAACCCAACTCGAATGTATGTTCTTCTCACACGTACGTATCCAATATAAATTGAATGTCAAGGTTCGCTCGCCAAGCTCTCATCAACCCTTCGTTATATTGGTTCAACTGGCGGATATCGGAGGCACGTTTGTGAGTAGGTACTAGTTTCTTAGGGCACTCTTTTGGACTTTGAAATTTCTCGAAGTTGTCTTTTTTTCCGAGGAAAATAATTCTCTCTCTTCTTCTTCAAATTTCATTTTCATTTTCTTAAATCTATCTTGTAAAGCAACTAAAATCACAACGAATATAATGTAGTGAACACCCTATTGACGCTTCTGGCAAATGCAGATCGGATGCAGTCTGTCGATAACGCAACTTGTGCGCAGCACAATTGCTTTAGTTCTTATTATTTTTTTTGTTTAGTCATTTTTTTTACAAAATGTGCACGACATGATCTAGTGAACTACACTACGTAGAAAAGTTCTGAAAATGCGAAGATAATCTCCCGGCATTGGAGATTGATCAATACACGTTCGTTTTTCAAACAGAAGTCCAGGTTCGGCGCCATAAGCTACACAAGTAGAACTAAATGCTTTTTGGACTTAGAAACTTTTCGTACATTTATAAGAGTTCATTGTCGGGCACCATTTATTCTTAAGACGAAATATAATTATTTAATTCTTTGTTCTTTATAAATAAAACAGTAAGATATTTAAAAGCTGAGTAGAGATTTTTAATTTTAATTTCTTAATGATCTCTTTGTGTCTGTTAATTAATATGATCAGGGTCTGTCGACAAGGCAACTTGTGCGCAGCACAATTGCATTCTAGTTTATTATTTAATATTCAATTGTACATGTTCTACAGACTGACTATTTTTACTTACACAATGTTTTTTATGTAATTGTTCAATTTCACTTGATTTCAATGGTATCCTTTATTCACTTGTAATCATACGTTGTCTA